TCTTTTTTTTCTTTTCTCTTTTTTTTTTTTAATTTTGAAGAACTGTTATTTGGGAATTTGGAAGCTCATGAGTCGCATACATATTATACAGAAGTGTCCCAAAATGACTTGAAAAACAACACATCACAAAAAAATTAAGTTATTTCATGAGGGAGAGATGGGGTTTGTCTGCTCTTCGGAGAATGGGCTAGGGTGGAACTGAGCAAGAATTTGTGTTATAATTATAACTCATAGGAAAGTGCTTCAATGTACTAATTCTATTTTACATGTCATTCTAAAGATGTCAACTGCTGAAAGTGAATCATGCCCCATAACTTTAAAACCCACTTCCCGTTCATCTCTGTCTCCATGTGTGTTCTGATGTAATTCTTTCGCATCGAATTAAGCCACATGCCTCTTACCACTTTGTGTCGTGCTTCTTTTCTTTTGGATTAGGTGGACAGGATTGATTTGTCCCAAAAAAGGGGGCTGAGTCTGGGTCTTTAAATCAGCTTTTGTTATAGGAGGTGATAAGAGCGGCAGGTTGGGCTCGTGTAAAAGGAATGCTAACGAGCCTAGAGGATTAAGGGGGCCACACTGGCTTCTTTTTTTAACGTAATTTGGGAAAATCTATATTATTACCTTTATTAATGCAAAAAGGAGGAATCTATAATTTTTCAAACTGGATAGAGAATTTGTATTTGTTAGAGACCTCAAGTAGGTATTTGTAATTTACCTTTACCCCAGTAGACAAGGTAAAATGGTATTTAAAAATATTTAACTGGTGGCCATAACAATTTTTTCGCCATGTCTAACCGAATTTGTATGGAGTAGGGAATTTATTGTGTGTCAATGAACCTAAAAGGAAGGTAGTGTCATTTTAAAAACTCTCTCTACAGTTGTCATAATCTCAAGAGAGGTCAGTGTAATTTACCTAAAAAAATTGAACTTTTTCCTCAAGTGACTAAAATTTCAAAACCTAACTTAGATAACAATCACAATAGGCTAATAACAGTAGAAATTTCGAAACATAATTTACATAACAATCACAGTACCCACAAAAATTTTTATTCTAATTTTTGCACTATTAAAAGTAATAATGTAGTCAGCAAGATGTTTAGCGAAGAAGAGAGAGACTGAGACAATGTGACTCCAACAAAGCCTCCTCTTTTTCATTTGGGGGCTTAACATAGAAGTGGGCTTTGACAAGAAAAGAGAGGGGAAGAAAATCAAGCCACCAAAGAGGAATTAAAAAAAATTACAATGAGCTTTCACGAAGAAGAGAGAGAGAGAGAGAGAGAGAGAGAGAGAGTCTATGAATAGCATAGCATTCTCAAGAAATTAGGGAACAACGACCCTTCTCTGCCTCTTCTTTCTTCTTTTTCTCTTCTCTCTCTAGGCTAGGGCTTATCTTAACTAAGTGATGAAGTGTTTTTCTATTGTTTTATCTTTTCCATATTTTACATTTTGAAAGTGGAATGTGACAGCAAGGATCAAAGTGTTCAATCTCTCCGGTGTGTTTCATTTGTTTATGTTCTATTCATAGTTGGAGGCTCAAATGGTGTTCCATGAAGTGTGTTGTTTTGTCAATCAACCAGTGTTTTAGACGAGTTGTCACCTAGGGTGTGTTGCGTCAAACCAAAAGCAGGGCCAAAAGATTTGTAGATGTAGCTCATTGGATTACCTTTATATTTCTAGAACTATAGTGCTTTCAACCAGTTTGGATATATGTGTGAGGGTTTTGTTGGTGTCGACAAGGATACAGTGCAATGAAGGCATTTCAGGTAGGCTAGGGCTTATGGTGAAAGGGGACAACAGTGGTATTCCAAATGGGGTTTCAAATAAGGGTTGTTCAGCACAAAGGTGGAGGTTCGAGGCAGTGATGTGGATTGGGGGAAGAAGGAAGTGACATGTGAAAATTAGAGGCCTCAGTCGTGTGGAGAAAAAAGTAAAGAGGTGCAAAGCAGTAGGTGACGTAGTGGAATGAGGGAGGCTGGAGGTGTTTCAATTTTAAATTGGGGGACAACTAGATTTGATGAGGCAAGTGTGGTGAAGAAAGGGACGTGTGCAAATAGGTTAGAATCAGGCTGAAGCTTGGTAGATTTACTTGGGCCCAAAAGTTGAAATGGGTTGGTGGAGAAGGGCCAAGGCTTTTGAACTAAGAAGTACAGACACTTCTAAAAAGGTAACATCTTGTTGGACACTTCCCAATACTTAGACATACATGAAACATATTATAAGTTTGATTAAAATAATTTGGAATCCAATGATAAACCAAAAACAATTTATATTTATATTTATATTTATTTTTCTCTTTAGACTTTAAAAGTTATTATATTTGACTTAAATATTTGTATGACATATAACAATTTTTTATCTTTATATATAATATATAATAGAATTATATATTTCGCATGTGTTTCCTATGTGTAGTGCCTTACATTTTTGAAATTTTTTTAGTCAGCATCTCAATGTCGTGTCTGTGTCCGTGTAGTGCTTCTTTTCTTTTGGATTAGGTGGACAGGATTGATTTGTCCCAAAAAAGGGGGCTGAGTCTGGGTCTTTAAATCAGCTTTTGTTATAGGAGGTGATAAGAGCGGCAGGTTGGGCTCGTGTAAAAGGAATGCTAACGAGCCTAGAGGATTAAGGGAGCCACAGTGGCTTCTTTTTTTAATGTCATTTGGGGAAATCTATATTATTACCTTTATTAATGCAAAAAGGAGGAATCTATAATTTTTCAAACTGGATAGAGAATTTGTATTTGTTAGAGACCTCAAGTAGGTATTTGTAATTTACCTTTACCCCAGTAGACAAGGTAAAATGGTATTTAAAAATATTTAACTGGTGGCCATAACAATTTTTTCGCCATGTCTAACCGAATTTGTATGGAGTAGGGAATTTATTGTGTGTCAATGAACCTAAAAGGAAGGTAGTGTCATTTTAAAAACTCTCTCTACAGTTGTCATAATCTCAAGAGAGGTCAGTGTAATTTACCTAAAAAAATTGAACTTTTTCCTCAAGTGACTAAAATTTCAAAACCTAACTTAGATAACAATCACAATAGGCTAATAACAGTAGAAATTTTGAAACATAATTTACATAACAATCACAGTACCCACAAAAATTTTTATTCTAATTTTTGCACTATTAAAAATAATAATGTAGTCAGCAAGATGTTCAGCGAAGAAGAGAGAGACTGAGACAATGTGACTCCAACAAAGCCTCCTCTTTTTCATTTGGGGGCTTAACATAGAAGTGGGCTTTGACAAGAAAAGAGAGGGGAAAAGAATCAAGCCAACATAGAGGAATTAAAAAAAATTACAGTGAGCTTTCACGAAGAAGAGAGAGAGAGAGAGAGAGAGAGAGAGAGAGTCTATGAACAACAAAGCGTTCTCAAGAAATTAGGGAACAACGACCCTCCTCTGTCTCTTCTTTCTTCTTTTTCTCTTCTCTCTCTAGGCTAGGGCTTATCTTAACTAAGTGATGAAGTGTTTTTCTATTGTTTTATCTTTTCCATATTTTACATTTTGACCTGCCAAAATTTTCAGAAATTATGTGTCCCCAATGTGTCTACACCAATGTACGTCATGCTAGTAGAAGTGTATGCGCTTCATAGCTCACGATTTATAAACTAATTAGAAGATGATGATTTTATTTTTTTTATATATAAATTGGTGTTTTATGTATAAATATGATGGGGAGTTGTTAGATCATTTGTGCTTGATGTGGCATCTTTGGAAAGAGCAAAACAAGAGGACCTTTAAAGGGGAAGAGGTGCCTTTACATTGGCTAAAGAGTTGCTTTTTGGCTATTTTGTGTAGTTGGGTTTCTGGGTAAGTCTCTCCCAATCTGGATCATTTTGTTGATTTTCTAATTTCTCTTCATCTATAGCGATCTGCAGGCCTTTTTTATCGTTTGTATAGGCCTCTTTTGGTTTTGTTTAGGTTATCATTATCTTTATCATAGTTCAACCTTTTGGAATCATCTTCTCTTTGATGCTGGTTTCATAATATATGATTTACATGTATGTATTTATTTCTTAATGCTGGCAACTCCAATACTGACAGCACCTCTGGAAGAGGAGACTAGCTTGACAGACATTCTAGTGAGAAAACCCTCATCCTCTTCTGCTTCAGGTGATCTTTTTTTCTTTTTTCTTTTTTTTAAATTTTGAAGAACTGTTATTTGGGAATTTGGAAGCTCATGAATCGTATACATATTGTACAGAAGTGTCCCAAAATGACTTGAAAAACAACATATCACAAAAAAATTGAGTTATTTCATGAGGGAGAGATGGGGTTTGTCTGCTCTTCGGAGAATGGGCTAGGGTGGAACTGAGCAAGAATTTGTGTTATAATTATAACTCATAGGAAAGTGCTTCAATGTACTAATTCTATTTTACATGTCATTCTAAAGATGTCAACTGCTGAAAGTGAGTCATGCCCCAGAACTTTAAAACCCACTTCCCATTCATCTGTCTCCATGTGTGTTTTGATGTAATTCTTTCGCATCGAATTAAGCCACATGCCTCTTACCACTTGTGCATGCCCCTGTCAGTTCCTTCTGAGTTTCGTTCTTATGATGAACATACTCGTGTGTGTGAAATAATATTCATTCATGTTATTCATGTGTAAAAAGCATGGAAGCATTACAGTCTGCTGGAACAGTTTCACATTGCAGATGCATATTTGATATGTATATGCATGCACAAATGAAACATTTGACCTGATTCTTTTTGGATATAGTAACGGTTGCAACTTTAATTTGGTGTAGCTTGTGTTTTTGAGGACACATGTATATGCCCCAGAACTTTAAAACCCACTTCCCATTCATCTGTCTCCATGTGTGTTTTGATGTAATTCTTTCGCATCGAATTAAGCCACATGCCTCTTACCACTTGTGCATGCCCCTGTCAGTTCCTTCTGAGTTTCGTTCTTATGATGAACATACTCGTGTGTGTGAAATAATATTCATTCATGTTATTCATGTGTAAAAAGCATGGAAGCATTACAGTCTGCTGGAACAGTTTCACATTGCAGATGCATATTTGATATGTATATGCATGCACAAATGAAACATTTGACCTGATTCTTTTTGGATATAGTAACGGTTGCAACTTTAATTTGGTGTAGCTTGTGTTTTTGAGGACACATGTATTGTTACTTTATTCACATCATTTTTTGTATGTAATGCATCATTTTGAAATAGTATAACATTCCTATGGATGAAATTGATACAGTAAATCTGATGGTGCTGCTGGAGCTCTTCTCAATGTACCGTGATTGGCAGGAGGCAAAAATCCAGACGATTAGTAAGAAACAGGTTCACTTTGAGAATGATAAAAGTCATATTTTACAATAGTGCTGTTATTGCAGTAAGTATATTTATGTCTTCTGTCTGGACAAGGCATGGATAAGATTAGATCTGCAGCCAGCTCACCTGAACCCTGTCTAGTATTTAGTGGCAGAATCCATGGATATCCATTTGATTTGTTTTGCTTCATATTATGATAATCGATTATAACTGATGCAGGAAGAGGTAGAAAACAAGATAGAAGTTGCAGATGCTTTGACAGTTAAACTTCTTCAGCGTTTTAATTATTCAGTCTCGACAATGAAGACTACTTCGCATCATCTATCAGAAGGTGAGTGATGTTCTTGCCTAGACTCTTCAATAAATAAACTTAAATATATATATATATATAAAAAATAAAAATAAAAATAAAGAAAGGGAAAAAAAAAAAGCACAAGCACGTTGCAGGTTGCAAAAAAACAATTTCTAAGAAACTGCTCACCAACCCAAATCTCATATTACGGAATGCCAAGAACGCTTAGCCCTGAAAATTTTGGTGGAAGCCCAAGTTGCCTACCTTGGTTCTTCTTGAATGTGCTCATGTACCTGATGAAACGATGACTTGCTTGATTTGAACTATTATTTTGAGAATCTGTTGATGTGATGTTGTAGATTGTGGGCTTTGTATAATTAGACTTGACATTAAAGTTGTTATTTAACTGTGTATAAAAATTGCACGCAGTTCATGCATTGCAGGTTGATCTTGGGGAGCTGAAGGGAAGGTTGACTGAGGTGATTAGCAACTGTGATTCATTATGCAAGAGAATCAATGCAGAGGGACCTGAATCACTGAGATCATCTGTCAAGCCATTTTCAGTGACCTCAGCAGACCTGGAAACCAGTTGTCGCTCCCATGGAAAGAGCGTTAAATAGAAGCCTGTCTACCATGGTTTATTTATTACAACACCAATCCTCACCCGGCACCCCCATTCCTTTTTATTATTAGAGACCTGACTTGCACCTCCTCGGCCAACCCATTTCCCTTTTCTTCTTATTATTATATACACCTTTTCTATTCTCCATTATGCTCCACTCACCACTATCATCACATTTTCCCACTTTTTCACACCCACTTTAATCATATCCCTCCTTTCCCTTACTTTCTTCCACCCACGATTTCACCATTTTCTTTTCTTTTAATATATATATATATATATATATTTTTTATTAAAAAAAAACAAAAAAAAAAAAAAAAAATTTTTTTTTTGGGGTTTTGTTCATAATTCAATAAAACCTGTGTTTGTGCCATCGTTTCACAGCTTTTATGTTCTTTTATCCATTGTAATGTTAAATGTACGTCATGTAGTTTCATTCAATCTTCAATGTTATCCAACTATAGAGTGTTTTTCACTCATCTTTTAAAAGGATGGCTTTTATACTGGTCTCTTTTTTTTAGGAACTTTTTCAATTTTTGTCAAATTATGAATTTATTAATGCTTCCTGTTTGAGAAAACAATAAAGATGTGATGAGACTCAGCTAAAATAAGTTAAATCATATATTAATTATTTTTATATTGTTCTATGCACGATTTAAGTGTAAATAGATCATTCAGACGGTGACATCTCCAGTAGTTTAGTTTCTGGATTCCCTGGTAAACTGCGGACACAATACATTACAACATCATCACATACTCAAATTTAATCACCAATGTATAGCATTGGAGTCGATCAGACTAGAAAGTAGACAAAATCAGATCATCCACAGCATCTCCAAAAGAGTTGTCATTATTCTAAATGCAAGCAGAACAAATGGTAGAGAAAGATCCAAAATATAACAATGAAACGTTTCTCAACTTCATATTAAATGAATGAGAGGGGGGGTGGGTGTTGAAGACAATCAAACAACCCATTAACATCAAAAGTTTAAATTTAACAAGAGTACTCACATTGTAATCAAACAATATTATCCCCGGAACATAGTTATAAAAACTCAAAACACTAAAAACAGAATTGAACCATAATTTAGAGAATCGAAAACAAAGACAAAATGGTTGAATCAATCAAGGCTGTTGCTGAGCAAGAGAGATCACCAGAAGACAAGACAGAACATAAATTTCATTTGCATTAAAGAAGCACAATGTGCACATCTAGTTGGACTATTACAAGTATAATATACATATGATTGTCAAATATTACATACAATAGTATCCATATAAAAATAATCATTAGAAGAACGCGCTGCCGACAGACCTATGTATTGAGAGACTATCTCTTACTAGCAGCTGAAACAGGTATCGGCATAATATAGACAAAATTGTGGGTGCCTCAATATCAACGCGGTTATCTCTCATGTGAATCCTAATAAAAGGCTAACAGCTGAGCTAGTGCATGACCCCCTTCAATGGCAGTGGTGGATTATGGGGGTCATGAGTTTTGAAGAACTAGATTTAGTTCTTGAGCACATTTCGCCAGTAGACCACCTCGCCTACAGAAAATCATTAGTAAATAGATTAAAAAAGAGTTATGAGTTGCGAAACCACGTTCGTGGTTACTTGAGGCAAGAAAGCAAATAAAGCTATTCAACAATCTAATATGTTTAAATGGGGTAACTTTGTAAAAAGTGATATAGAGCAGTGTTGTCAAAGGCGCGCCTAGGCGCGCACCTAGCGCAAGGCGAGTCGAGACGCACCATCTGCGCCTGTTGAGGTACCAGGCGAGGCGACTTGAGCCAGGCGAACGCCTTAGTCGCGACTTGAGCAAGGCGAGAGAGGCGCAAGGCGAGAGCCTAGGCGCGACTGAGTGTTTAAGATGTAGATCTGATCTAACGACTCAGATGAACCTTTCGAATGGCTTGTAATCACAGAGGATTACGACTCATGTAGCATATGAGCCAAATAGGACTCAGATAACCCTAATCGAAGTCGTCTCTTCCTTTTTCACCTCGCAATTGACTTCGACTGCGACACTGGAGCTGGACTTCGTCTGCGACTACGACTACGACTGCGACTGCGACACTGGAGCTGGACTTCGACTGCGACACTGGGCTTCAACTTCAGCTTCGCAGGTTCGACTCTCTCTCCCCTACTCCTTCTTCGTCTTCGATCGACACTGGACTTCGACTTTCATTTTTTTTTTTTGCTTCGACTTCTTCAGCTCCATTTTTTGCCTTCGACTCTTTCTCTCTCTCCTTCGTGAGTGATTTGTTTTGCTTTTTTTTTTTTTTTTTTCTTTTCAATTATTTGAGTTAAGTCTGAAAAAAAAAATGTAAGAGTAATTATTTGTAAAAATGTAATATACTATTACATTTTTCGTTTTTCTTTTCTTTTTTTTTCAATTATTTGTAAAAATGTAAGAATTTACAAAAAAAAAAAATTACAAAAATTAGGGAAAAAAAATTATTTGTAATATACTATTAAAAAAAAAATTATTCGTAATATGTAAGAGAAGAATTTATGATTATTACATAAATAAATAAATTAAAAAAATTAATTAATGATTATTACATTCATTATGATTATTACATAAATAAATAAATAAATTAATTAATTAATTCATACATACATACATAAATAAAAAAATAGATACATTACATTCATTATGATTATACTGAAATTGATTCATCATTATACTGAAATTAATTAATTCATCATTAATTAAAAAAATAGAAAATTGATTCATAACATTAATTAATTCATACATTACATACATTACATTACAGACATTAATTAATGCATACATTAATAGAAAATTGAATGTAACATAGGAATGAATGTAATAGAATGTAATGTACATTAATTAATTAATTCATCATTAATTAAAAAAATAGAATTATTGATGTTTTTAAGTGTTAAAACATATATTAGTATTTGTTGGATATTTATGTTTTAGATGTTTAGTGTTATGTTTTTATTTTTATTTTATTGAATGTAGATTATTTGATCTTTGAAAATTGGAATGTTATGTAATATGCACTTTCATGACTTTGAGAATTATTCTATATTTTGTCTTGAATCTTGACTACTTTTTATTTTTTAAAAAATTGTCTTAGTACTATGAATGATTAGTCTATATTAATTTTTCTTTTTTTTACGAAAACTGTGCGCCTTATTTCAATAAAGCCCGCGCCTCACCTTGCACTTAGGCCCCGAGAGACCTTCAGTGCCTTAGTGCGCCTTGAGCCTTTAAAAACACTGGTATAGAGATTGAACTAACTAGCTTGTGTTTATATTTACAATTGCAAAACTTGGAAGATGAAACTACATATTTCTTAACTTTATTACCATGTCTTTTCCAATATAACGAGTTTCCATTACGTAGTTTACTTCATGATTGTCCATTACGTCTTCTTTTAAAGAAGAAATGATTTAAGATAGATTTGGCCATTTGGAACATGAAAAGAGGAATTTCATGACTACCAATTTATCAGGCAAGCTAAACAGCGAAGACAGATTTCTGACAACACAACACCTAAATAAAAAGCTGACTAACCAAGAAACAGCTTGTTTACCTTATAAACACCGGAAGAATTTTTTTGATCTTCTGCAGATGGATAAAACACTGATTGCAGCATTCGAGTCTGTCAGAGAAAATTTTCAAAAAGAAATCGGTGTGCTATACAAGTAATTCTCATCCATTCACCGCCATATATTTAGAATGGTGGGTGGGAATGGAACCAAAAAAAAAAAAAAAAGTTCCATTAGATGTTGATAGCTGTACCTCTTCTCTGCATGAAGAACGGGACCAATGACTGGAGGTGCTCAAATGGTTGAGCGGACTACTGGTCCAAAGACTGCAACAAGTTTCAATAGCATCTCCAGGGAAATATTGGCATGCCCAAATAATTGTAAGCATTATTAAGATATCTGTCAGGATCCAAGAAATAAAGAGGATATTAATTGCAAATTCACAATTTACCAGTGATATTCTTCAATCATAAAGTAATTCATTTATTTATTTTTCTAGTAATTATTTGAAAATCATAAAGTAATTATTTGAAAATCATACATGCTGTGTCAAGTATCGTTACACTATATTAATAACCATCAATCAAAAAAGAGATTTTCTCTAGGAATTATAAGGAAATCTTGCATCTCTGTCGAGTATTATTATAAAAGGCTCTTGTTTCTTTCATTTTTTAATTTCTGCTTCCTTTGCGTGTATGTGTACTTTTTCTTTTCAATTTCAAATGAGAGACCTCAAGATAATATCAAGTTTTCTCTAGGTTTTAGTGCTTCATTAAAAAGAAAAAAAGTTTTTTATCTAGATTTTATGTACGTAATTAGAATAATTCCTGTAAGAAAAACTTCCGTCTTGGATAATGACCTTTTCTGGGGAGGAGAGAAAAATGAATCACTTTTGCCTCCTCCCCCCCACCCCTCTTCAGAAAACATACATACACACAAGAGATAGTGCAGGAAGAGTTCTTGGATCCTCCACTAGATTAATCCGTTCTTCATTAAAAGACTATTTTCTAACATGAAAACTATAATATAAAGTCAACTCTCTTAACAAATTACTAGTAGATTGGGTCCCCTGGATTTGGTCAATAATCTGGACTTAAGAACCCGGAAAGCATTATCACACACTACAGCACCCCATGTCAATGTTTTCCGACACCCAGCAACATAAAAATTTACCTTTCTATCTTGCTATCCAGTAAACCCAAAAGCACGGGCAGCAAGCAAGAAAACAGATCTAAGGTGAGAATCTCCATTTTCTCCATGAGAATACTCATCAGGTCTGCTTGTACCTACACCGGGGAGAATGAACCTTCAAAAAATTAAACAAACACGAAACTGGTTACCAACAGAACAAGCAACAGACTTGAAATCATCCAATGAATACCCACAGAATGATCAGGCAACTTCCTCACAGCATCAATAGCACCATTAATATCATTCCGATCCCAAAAATGCCGCAACACCTGCAAATTTGTTAGAATTTTACATGCTCACAGCCTTGTAATATAAAATAAGATGCTAGAACGCAATTCATGTAACCAGCAACATCTTTAAATGTTCTGGCAATGGAGGCTGATATGGACCTGCTAAACTTACCTGTAATTTCGTCAAGCGGGACCAAAGGGTACTCAAGAATACATCATGATTCTGCATCAAATCTTCAGTTAAGTCACCATCATTTGAGGATGTCAACTCCCTTCCAGTAATTTGTGGATCTCTATTCTGTAAGTCGCCACGTAACATGATGAATATTCAAAAGACAGACTATTTAGACAAAATCTAAAAATGTGTCTGCATTAAATGAGAAAAGGAAAAAAAGAAAACTGAAATATAACGTTTAACATTATACTCTCCAGAACAAATCCCAATCCCCCAGGCCTCTCTTCCCCTTCCTCTTCCTCATAAATGCAATCATTACTTTGGCTAGGCTACTAGTTTGTAGAACCCTAATTGAGAGAGAGAAACTGGGACACTAATTCCATAGGTTTCAATTTATACAACTACGGCCTATCCCCCTTGCACCCCAACTCTTCCAACCTTTACTTTAGGTATGGTCCATCCAGTTAAAACCAAGTACCAATATAGACCAAACTGAAAGGTCATATCAAACAGAAGATGAGGGTATTTAAAATCACCAGCATGGAACAATCCAATTTGCTTCCAGCAATTGGAAATAATAGTGTTTACCATAGTGCTAATACAAGACACCAATTGATGTTCCCACGTCCCAGTCGTAACGCCCTCAAAATAAACCCATAATAACATACATTCAAGATAAAGAAAAGAGATTTCATATTACAATTATCAGAATATTTTTACAAAAGGTATTACATGTTGACAACAAAAGTAAATGCCCTACGGGTTTACAACTTTCCAAGTCAACACTTGGTTACAAAAGAGAGTACTAACTCTACACAAAATAAGCCCTTGGATTGATATACATGTAATACAACAAAAACGGCAAAAAAAAAAGTCCAATAGCCTCAAGCCTCCCAAGCTACGTCCTTAGAGGTGGCATATTACCTGTACCTGAAAAAGATGTCCCATATAGTCACCGCCAACGTCCAGTAGAGATATGTTACAATAACTAAAACATTAGCATTTGATAAATGTTTAACTCACATAAATCAATTCATAATCCATTTCAATTACATGACAAATGTGTTCATGTTTCATTCCATTTTCCATTTCTTATCCAATTTCTCAATTCATAACTATGGCTCAGAACCTGGCCAAACAATTTAAATGAGATTACATCTCATATCAATAGTACTTCCATTTCAATTGAGGTAACAACTCAAATTAAACACTTCATACTTCACAATAGATACACATAATTGCTGCATCAATCTCAAATAAAATACTTCCGTACTTCATATATGATACACAGATTTGCTGTATCAATACTTCAATAGATACACATATTTGTTGTATCGATGGAGTCCATCCCCTATCTCCTCTCAAACAATATCCGGTTTAGGAGTCCATCCCCTATCTTCCCCTAAACCGTGGAGTATATCCCTATCTCCTCCCACACAATACAATGTATACAAACACATATCATATACATAATCAATCAATACATAAATTTGATGTGTTATTCCAACCGTCATATTCGATGACATATTCAATTGACTAGTTTTAGTTCGCCTAATCATCATGCATTGTCTACAACAATAAAGACTATCCTCCACCGATAGCCCAAAGCAGTTATTTCTAAACAGATAATAAATACCTCAACAGATATATATATTCAACATTTTCAAAGTGAGCGATTAATAAATCCAACTCCACCATTCTATCTCATAAGAGCATCTCCAATGCACTAGGCATATAATACTTGTTAGTTAAAATGCCTAATGTGATTCATTTTTTTCAATTCCAATGCACTAGGCATATGATTAGGCATTTTTGCTCAACTCATATTCACTAGCTACATGTAGCTAGCCTTCAACGCTAGGCAAAATGTGTTCAATCATTAGGATCATTTCCCTCCATCTTTGTTATTGACGTGGCATTCTATAAAATTAATAGTATTTGGATAAATAGCTAAAATAAAGAGCATGGTTGGAGTAAAAACATAAAACAGTTGATAGGCAAAATAAAATATATACTTTATAGTAATATTTAGATAGGTAAAATGCCTACTACCGTTGGAGATGCTCTAATAAGCCAATTTCATTATTTCCAACTCAATTTCATATTTCCATAATAAATGTCATTAATTACACTAATGACCCAAATATACCCAATCATGGCATTTTTTCCCTTTTTCTCAATATTGACCCAAAGGCTCAAATATTATCAACAAAATCAATAATTTCTTTTTAAGACCCCAAAATACACATATATGAGTCAAAAGGACAAAACCCCTCTTTTCAATATAACATATCTCAAGTCCTAACTTTCCAAATCAAACCATCTATACAAATAGCTCAACATCTATGTTAAAGCACATAAGAATGATTAGTTATCCCTACCTCAAGAGATGAAACCCAAAGGAGATGATGAAGAAATCCCGAAGTGCTCCAAATCAAGAAATTTTCGGATTGATAGGAAGCCCACACCAAGCTCTACACTTTTTGTAAAGGCTCAAGGGTAGGAGATCACTCTAACTAGATCAAATCCTAGAGAGAAGTTAAGGTTTTAGAGTGAGGTACTCTCAAATGGTGGTTTTTGAAAAGTAAGAGAGAGAAAGGATGTTGAAAAGTGATCCAAAAAGTGAAATCCCGAAGTGATATAAAAGTCGCCCCGCTCGAGCGTGGAAACCCCCGCTCGAGCGTCAGACACAGATTCACGCTCGAGCGTCAAAACGCCCGCTCGAGCGTCAGATGCACACTCACAGAAGTTTTGCAGGCGATGGTCCCCGCTCGAGCGGAGGGACAAAATCAAAGGGTCACGCTCGACCGTCAAAACTCCCGCTCGAGCGTACAAAGACCTGCAGAAAAAATACTGGGAGATGGAAATTCACGCTTGAGCGGAGAAGCAACAACAAAGGGCCCGCTCGAGCGTCAAAAGCCCCGCTCGAGCGTGAAAGCCAAATTCTGGGCATCAACTCTAGGTTTCAAAGCATAACCAACCTGTTCCAAACTTGTCCAACACAACAGACTCAAATACAAAGAGTAAGGAATTAAAGGATGACAACAAGACATATACAACAACCAACTCCACGGAACCTAAGTCCGGAGTACTGTTAAACAGTGAAGGGAAAACCGGGATCGCTGCACCATAGGAGTCAGACACTGATACATGAGGCTAGATCAAGTGCTTGTGCTCATAGAATTTAACTATGATTAATTATACACTGCATCATTAGCAGTAAAAGTAACACAAGTAGCCTACTAATTCAAAATATCCTGCATGTGTGTTCATACAAAATCAAAACAATATCACACATCACTATGCCCATGCATCAGTCACAAAAGATAACCATTTAAGTAGGTAAAAACCCTACCAGCATGGGGGTTGTTTTAGCAGTCTCAGTTATTATATGAGCGGTTGTATCATGTGCCTGAACCTCATCACTATTTAATCTCTCTCTCCTTTCAAACATCTCAACCAGAGAGCGCGTCCTTCCCTGTACAACTGCCACTGCCAAAAGAATCAAATTCTATACAATGTGACCTTTCAAGCAGTGTAGATATCATTTGATAGCAAACCTCCATTGACAAGTTTAACCGAATTTGTCCCTTCAGTGCTACTGGGGGGGTCATTGCCTGAAAAAAATGAAGGGAAAAAAAGGAAAGAAAAAACAATCAAACTCGTGAGCAATAGATTGTACATATAATCAAAATCTCATACGATAACATTCAAAAACATAAATCATATTTTGGACATATGCACGATATGAAGCAAAACATTCTTCTACCCTTTAACAGTATGGCATTGGTAAGTCAAAAACCCAAGAGAGGAATGAAAACAGTACAGAAGAGAAAGTACTGGACTTTGATAAATTTTGAAATGAAAATGGAGTTTAAAAACTTACATTAGTCTTTCGTTAAAGAATTTCAAACTGGAAATGGAAGAAATGATGTTTTCAGAAATTGGTTTTGTCAAGTAATCTCCCCTTTCTTTCTGGAAAATGTAAATGTCTTCTGAAAACAGAATCAATATGCTGCAAGTTCTAGGTAAAGTTTCAATCTCAAAATACAGATTTGTTAATGTAATTGGCAATGAATTCCCAGATCTGTATGTTCACAAAGCAATAATGTCAACACACATGCTTTATCATGTTTTATGCAAGGTAGTTAAGAAACAGAAAATTCATAAGTTCAGCCATCACTAAAATGGACCTAGAGATTGATGAGTGAACAGGACAAGAAAGGAAATAATTACAAAAAATAAATAGATAAGAAAGTAAAAAATCAGAACCACCTTCCAGCGGAAGGGGAATAACAGGTACAACAGCAGGACTGTCCAGCATAAAGATGCATTCCATCCAAGACATAACCCAAGTCAAACAGCTCCTGAGCTATAACTCATTGCATGGGAATATAATATGGATCGTGTCAACTTTGTATGCCTCTCAAAATTACTCAAGTGATCTTAATATTTGATCTTAAAAGATCACATCCCCATCTAAAGTTGATTACATGAAAGACAGACTCAAACACAATGGATCCAAACGAAATAGTATAATTTCTCCTGCGCTACAGTTAATTTTATTTATTTACACTACAGGTCAGAATCAACATCCAACATGCCTCAAAAAACACAAAATGACCATGAAAAGTTACAATAGAAAGTCAACTCTCCTATACGTGATAAGCCTTTCGATTATATGTTCAAGTTGGGAATTTCTCACTCCTAAGTGGCAGAAATGCAAGTTGAAATCTTATATTCCTCTCCACATAAAACAATAACTGTAATCTCCAAAAAGCCACCATTTGCATACTGAAAGTCATTACTTCTGAATCCACATCAATGAAAGGAAAAACCTAGACCTGAAATTCTGCCTGCTAGAAAACAAATAGTCACCCAATTTGTTTCCTTTAAGCTTCAAGATAAAAGGATGAACATGTGTACTAAATACCACACAGATCATGAACACATAATGCAATCTCTGCAGCTCATCTCAACAGCTCATGTCTACTGTCCTCAAGATGATCCTATCTAGGGAAAAAGAGCTGATGCCTTTGTAATACCCCATTGTACAAAATGATATTGATATCGATATAAAAGATCCTTCCTGTAGGTATCACCTAAACTAGACACTTTGGAAACTCATTATGTTTGAAAATTTGACAAAGAGAACAGACTACGAAAAGAGAGGTGGAGAGGAAGACATGAGTGGGAAGACTTTATAAGAAAAACTGAAAAATAGAAAGAGATAGGGAAAGGAAGAAAGAGACTAATTTCAGCTTTCCTTTCAAGCAAAAGTCCACAATCCTCCACCAAGCCACGTCCATCCCACCTTCTCAGGTACCTGCAAGAGCCCTTGACATGTTAATACAGCAATATTGCAGCCAGAAGTAAAATTAGAAAGGTAAGACATTGGAATTACCTAAGCCTCTCAAATCTAGTAGTAATACCCACCTCCATATGGGCGACCACTCCCGTAAAAAGATGAATATGGGCCTTCGCCATACTGTAACATGACAGAACATGAGAAATCAGGAGTATGTTAAAATGCAAGCCATGAATCAATACAAAATTAGCCACAAGTACTCACATCAGAGCCATAATAATCATGCGAGTAGAGACTGCTTCCAGCACCATACGAATCTAGAACAAAAAGGGATATCAGCCATCTGACAAAAATACAAGCCATACAAACAAGCAGGGCAAAAGCAACATTGCACACAATCCACACCTTGATAGCGAGGCGTACGAAATGGAACAGCAGGATCAGAGTAATCCAATCTAGGACGGAGTCTGCTAGGCTCCATGTAATCACGATCCTGGTCCTTATGGCCAAAAGCATACATACAAACAATAAGGTACACTGTCTGAAGCTGAAAGAAATCTCAAAACAGAACTACTTTCACAAAACTAAAATGAATTCCAGCTTACTGTCATAAAGAATGGTCGCTTCATCCCATGTGCACTGTCATCATAAAAGTAAGGGTCATCAAAATGCCTTCCAATGAAGGGTCTGTTAAATCCTTCTTCAGGGGGAAATGGTTGCCTCCTTGGTGGAATATGCCTCCCACGGCCTCTATCAGGTGCATCATGCCTGACCCTATCAAGGTTAGGTCTTGCTGAAACAGAGCCTCCACTAGATGCTTCATGAGCACCCCCAAATGAATCTCTCCATCCACCTGCTCATGTAAGATAACAATTAAGGGATTGATAACTGCATCCATCTATAATATAACGACTAGCAGAAACCTTTAATTCATTGTCATTATTCTAAATGCAAGCAGAACAAATGGTAGAGAAAGATCCAACATAAAACAATGGAACATTTCTCAGCTTCATATTAAATGAATGAGGGGGGGTTGAAGACAATCAAGCAACCCATTAACATCAAAAGTTTAAATTTAACAAGAGTACCCACATTGTAATCAAACTATATTATCCCCGGAACATAGTTATAAAAACTCAAAACACTAAGAACAGAATTGAACCATAATTTAGAGAATCAAAAACAAAGACAAAATGGTTGAATCAAATCAAGGCTGTTGCTGAGCATCCATAAACCCAGCATCAACAAGCACTTTCTCTCTCTTAGCCAATTCAATATCCTCATCAACCATCATCTTGACCAGCATTTGAAACCCAACCTTAGGCTTCCAACCCAGAACCTCCTTGGCTTTGCTGGCATCGCCCTTCAAATTATCAACCTCAGTGGGCCTAAAATACCTCTTATCAATGACAACATGGTCTCTCCAATTCAAGCCAACAGACCCAAACGCCACTTCCAAAAACTCCTGAACAGTATGGGACTCCTCGGTGGCCACCACATAATCATCCGGCTTGTCCACCATTTGCATACTGAAAGTCATTACTTTTGAATCCACATCAATGAAAGGAAAGATCGGAACCTGAAATTCTGCCTGCCAGAAAACAAATAGTCACCCAATTTGTTTCCTTTAAGCTTCAAGATAAAAGGATGAACATGTGTACTAAACACCACACAGATCGTGAACACATAATGCAATCTCTGCAGCTCATATCTACTGTCCTCAAGATGATCCTATCTAGGGAAAAAGAGCTGATGCCTTTGTAATACCCCATTGTACAAAATGAAATTGATATCGATATAAAAGATCCTTCCTGTAGGTATCACCTAAACAAGACACTTTGGAAACTCATTATGTTTGAAAATTTGACAAAGAGAACAGACTACGAAAAGAGAGGTGGAGAGGAAGACAGAAGTGGGAAGACTTAACAAGAAAAACTGAAAAATAGAAAGAGATAAGGAAAGGAAGATAGAGACTAATTTCAGCTTTCCTTTCAAGCAAAAGTCCACAATCCTCCACCAAGCCACGTCCATCCCACCTTCTCAGGTACCTGCAAGAGCCCTTGACATGTTAATACAGCAATATTGCAGCCAGAAGTAAAATTAGAAAGGTAAGACATTGGAATTACCTAAGCCTCTCAAATCTAGTAGTAATAGCCACCTCCATAGGGGCGACCACTCCCGTAAAAAGATGAATATGGGCCTTCGCTATACTGTAACATGACAGAACATGAGAAATCAGGAGTATGTTAAAATGCAAGCCATGAATCAATACAAAATTAGCCACAAGTACTCACATCAGATTTTATTTTTATTTTTATTTTTATTTTTTTGCAATTGATTTATATAATCGGGACAAATATTTTCTGAAAATTTTTAAATTTTTTATGTGCTTTAAAATAATTTTGAATTGTATGTTTAGTTATGAGTTGTAAATTTTTGTATCACATATCAAATGTCACATTAACAATTCCCCACTCAAATCAAACCTCTTTTCCAAAACTATTTTCAAAACTCTTTACTAAACAAATTTTCTACACTCAAATCATAATTCTACAACACACAAACTCAAAATACAACTCATACTCTCAAATCACATTTACAAAACACAACCAAACGCAGGCTTATTTTCTTATTTTTCGTATTTTTTTGTTTTTACTGAATTTTTTTAATATTTTGAGCAATTTTTTTAATTTTTAAACATACTTAACATAAATATACCTAAAAAGTAAAAAAAAATTGAAAAAAATCTTTTAAAAATTCACTAAATATCAAAAATATAAAAAAAATACGAAAATTCAGTACACTTTTTGTATTTTTATGTATTTATTAATTTTTAAAAATATTTTTTCACAAATCTTTTACTTTTTAGATATATCTAAGTAAGATGTATCTAAAAATTTTTAAAATTTTAAAAATATTCACTAAAAATAAAAAAAAATACGAAAACTAAAAAATTTAATTTCTAAAAAATTTAATTCAAAAAACTCAAATCAAACCCATGATATTTTTTTTTTTTTTTAAATTATATTGTGCAGGTGTCCGCGCTGTTTTCCCTATTAGTTAAGCTGGTACGCGTTTTTTTTTTTAATTTTTCTTACCCAATCACAGCCTGCTGCCCGTTACCAAGACTAACGCCATTGTATGCCTGTTTTTTTTTTTTCCGTAAATAACGCTATACATGTGTTAATTAATATACTATAATATAATTTTAAATGTTTTAAATATTTATAATTTATATAATAAATAGGATTAATAATAATAATATAACGTTAATTAATAAACAATGTATATATTTATTGATGCATGTAATACTACTATTTTTCGGTAGACTAGGTCATAATATGGGGAAGGAAAGGGTTATAGTTTAGTTTGAAGATTTATAGCGAGGTTTTACCTAGCTCAAGCTTGTATTTTGAATACTGGTAAAAAATAAAAAATAAAAAAATAAAAAAACCCTTGTATCTCAAATAAAATATACTAAGTTAAATTTGAACTTAAGTGTTGAAATTCAATCAGTTAGTTCTTAAAAGGTAAACCATTGGCTCACTTGCAAAGGAAATAAGAAAATTAATACAAAAAAAATAAAATAGAAAATAAAAAATTTAAAAATATGCTTAACTAGTTAAACTTAATGTTAATTCATTACTTGTGCATCTAGTTCATTTAAGCCAAGCCTATTAAATAGGATTTTAGCCTAAAATTCTTGACTTTGGGATGGCTTGGTCTAGTTAAAAAAAAATGGTTGGATTTAGTCAATGAATAGTCTTAAAAACCAATTTCACGAATTTAACCCATATTCTTTTTGACTATTTCATTAGGTCCTATTTGAGATAAGAAGACCAAAATACCTTTTTTCATCTACTTATGTTCTATTTAGTTCACATTATTTTCTTATATTTCAATAAGTCCTATGGGTGACATAATTACCAAAATACCCCTAATGTGAATGTTCACACCGTCAATGTGAATGTTCATATCTTCAATGTGAATGTTCATATCTTCAATGTGTAGGGGCCCAGCCCATGTCAATCCTCATGGGTGCCCGAAAAATTCGAGTTGGGCCGGGGCGGGCCCGGCCTGTTGACAATGTGAATATTCACATTGACATGTTAACATGCACATTGATAGGAATGTAGAATTGGCCCGCGGCCCATGGGCTGCCCGAAGCCCTCTCACTGCTCGGGGCAGGCTCATTTGGGTCCGGGCTCGAGCATGTCCGAGACCCTAGGCTAGGGCCTAGGCCATCACTTTGAAGCCTGGCCCGGCCCATCAGCCCCCTTAAGGCCCATTCAAGGCTCGATCCGAGGCCCAGCCCGCCCAAGGCGCAATGTCTTTTTTTGTGGAAAATAATAAAATTTTGGTAGAAAAAATTAAAAAGAATTAAAAAAAAATGGCCAGGCCAGCCCAAGCCCGACCTAAGCTCGAGGCTAGGCCCAAGCCCACCGGCCCGACCCGAGGCTCGATCCATCAGCCCGTGCAAAGCCCGAATACCCTTGTGCCAAGGCTAGGGCCTGGGCCTAATTTTTTAGCCCGTGGACCGGGCTGGATTTTTTCGGACACCCACGAGGCTCGATATGGGCCGGCCCGGGCCTCTACGCATTGATGATATAAACATTCACATTGACGATGTGAACATTCACATTATGGGTATTTTGGTAATTATGTCTCCATTGACATGTTAACATTCGCATTGATAAGAGTATAAAATTGGCCAGCGGCCCAGGGCGGGCCCGGCCCGATCCGTTGACAATGTGAATATTCACATTGACATATTAACAGTCACATTAATAGGAGTGTAAAATTAGCCCGTGCCTCGTGGTTGCCCGAAACCTGCCCACGGCCCGGGGTGGGCCTGGCCATTTTTTTTTTAATTCTTTTTAATTTTTTCTACTAAAATTTTATTATTTTCCACAAAAAAATACATTGCGCCTCGGGCGGGCTGGGCCTCGGACCGAGCCTTGAATGGGCCTTAAGCGGGCCTCGGACTGGGCCGGGCTTCAAAGTGATGACCTAGGCCCTAACCTAGGGTTTCGGACATGCTCGGGCCCGGACCCAAACGAGCCTGCCCCGGGCCGTGGGCTGGCTTCGGGCAGCCCACGGGCCGCGAGCCAATTCTACATTCCTATCAATGTGCATGTTAACATGTCAATGTGAATATTCACATTGTCAACGGGCCGGGCCGGGCCTACTCCGGTCGCGGGCAAGTTTCAGGCATCGGGCAAATTTTACACTCCTATCAATGTTAATGTTAACATGCCAATGTGAATATTCATAATATCACGGGTCGGGCTGCAGTTAGGCTTCGGGCCGCCCACGGGCTGCGGGCCAATTTTACACTCTCATCAATGTGAATGTTAACATATCAATGTGAATATTCACATTGTCAACGGGCCGGGTCAGGCCCGCCCTAGGCCGCTGGCCAATTTTATACTTTTATCAATGTGAATGTTAACATGTCAATGTGAATATTCACATTATTAACAGGCTGGACCGGGCCCGCCCTAGGCCGCCCACAGGCCGTAGGCAGGTTTCGGGCAGCCACGAGTGTAACACCCAAATGTTTTAAATTTAACATTACGATAAATAGAACTCAGAAATTAATAATAATAATAATAATAATGATAAAATAAGTATATATATACATGTAGTGACAATAATAATAAATAAATAAATAATAATAAATAAATGCATAATTTAGGAGATTGAGAATTTTATAGTTAAAGAAACACGTTGTGAAACACTATTTATTAAATATTTTGGTAAGTGGTAAGTGGTGATTTATAGTTGGGTGGTGAGGTTTTTAGACATGAACCTAACTTATCATTATACGTAAATTTTAGGAACCATTGTGGATTACCAAAGAGGATAGTAACCCTTTCAAACTTATAATTCAATTCGCAAAACTTTGGTTGGTACAGGATAAGGGTTGAATAAAAAAAAAAAAAAGGGATAAGGCTCTTTGATTAGGATAAGTTTCAAGGGTCAAATACGTTTCAAGGGTCAAAGTTTATGAGTCAAGGTAAAGGGAGTAAACCAGAGGAAAATTAAGAAATGTTGCTACGTATACGACTATGGCTTGGGCCTCACACATTGTTAGGTATAAATAAGGAAGTGAAGGTCATAGGCGAAGCACAGAAACAAGGTGAGTATATGAAGCGTAACGTAGCGAGGTTCTGAAGTGCAAGGAAAATAGCGATAAATTTATACTAGAGGTAGTATAATATGTTTTAAAAATGTCTTGAGTTACCCTTATATATTTTACGTATGTTTTAACTTACCAAAATCTGTTTTATAAAATTTATGTTTTTTAGTATATTAATAAAAGTTATATTTTATAAAAGTTTCAACTAAAGAAATGTTGCTACGTATATGACTATGGCTTGGGCCTCACACATTGTTAGGTATAAATAAGGAAGTGAAGGTCATTGGTGAAGCACAGAAACAAGGTGAGTGTATGAAGCGTAACGTAGCGAGGTTCTGAAGTGCAAGGAAAATAGCGATAAATTTATACTAG